TACATCACCCAGTTCTACGTCACCCAGTTCTACATCACCCAGTTCTACATCACCCAGCTCTACATCACCCAGTTCTACATCACCCAGCTCTACATCACCCAGCTCTACACTCCTTCCACCGGCTCCCTGTAGCTCAGAGAACAGATTTTAAATCACTTCTACTAGTTTATAAATCACTGAACGGCTTAAAGACCTGCTGTTGTCATAGCAACCTTCCAGACCTCTCAGGTCTTCTGGTTCTGCTTTGCTTCAGAACCAGAACCAAACATAGAGAAGCAGCATTCAGCTTCTAAGAACCACAAATCTGGAACAAACTTCCAGAAAACTGCAAAACAGCCGAAACACGGAGTGCCTTAAAATCCAGACTAAGAACCCAGCTGCTTACAGTTACTTTTGAAACATTATAAATGAAACATTTTGACGCGTAATCATGTGACTGATTGATTTATTCCTATATTTCCAGAAACTCTTTCTTCACTACGTTTCCTCACCATGACTGGATTCTGCAGCTTTGTGTATTTTTCTTCTCTTATTTCCTCCGGCAGACTGTTGGCTCTTATCAGCTCTTAGCATTATTCCAAGCATTTCTGGGAACATGCACCCATTTCCTGGAAACAGGAAGGCCTTGTGAGATTCTCTGGCCCCTTTAAAAGCTGTCACTCAGTTTGACCTATGGGCCAAAGACCGGCGGGTCTTCACAGGGTCCTGCAGAGTTTCCCACATTGCAGGACTTTGTTGCCCTTCAATCAGCCAAATCTTAACGCTGAACATGAATTTACAACCTTTCAAATCGAGAACAAATCACGTGCAGCTGCGGTCTGACAGTGGGCCTCAGTCTCAGCCAAACCCGAAATGAATTCACATTCATTCAAAGTGAAACTGGTGGGACTGTGGGACTGGTTGCCAGTAAGTCTTAAATCTGCTTCCAGTGAAAGTTGTTTTGGTCAGATGGAAGAAATGCAGGGCATTTTCTAAAAATGATGAACTGAATCTGTCAGAGTTTTATGTGCCAGAGTGGAAACCAGAGTGAAGCTCTGCAGAGTTGATGCTGAAGATGAGGATGCTGGATCTGGTGGTTTACTATGTGGAGGGTTCTGAAACAAACAAATCTCTTTACCCGATTCCAAATAAGTCCTGCAGTAATAAACGTCATGTCTGGGTCTTTTGTCCCAATCTCAGTCAAGTCTTAAGTCTCTAATAATCATGATGAATCGGTTATTAAAATAATCGTCAACTAATTAGAAATTAGTTAATCATTAACTGGAGTAAAGAGATTTTTAAAAAGGCCATTAAGTGAAATAAACTCAGAGCAGAAATGAAGCCAAAACTGTAAATATATTTATGCATTAAGATGAACAGAAACCTTCACTGTCTGTAAATATGTTCTACCCAGAACTCCCAAAGTGGCAGTTTTAGCTTCACCTGGTTCAAATTTTATGAAACAATTTCACATTAATCTTTTGCTGTCCAATTATTAATTCGTTAATGAAATATAATCAACCAATCAGCTCTACACTGATTTGAAAAACTGAGCTTTTCACGTTAGAATTTATTTAGCTGCAGATGAATCCTTTGCTATCAATTGTTCACTAAAGGAATTATATGTTTAAGCAATGTTTATTTTTTTATTCAAAATGGAGCTGAATTTAGTCTTTATTTGCATCTCAACGTATTTCTAATGTTGAATCACAACGGCTGAAGTGGTGGAATTAAAAATCTGCCGAATTGTTTTTATCTGATTATTAATCATCAGAATAAACGAAAGAAAAATCTTAATACTCCAGGTGGTGCTGAAGATGAGGATGCTGGAGGTGGTGCTGAAGATGAGGATGCTGGAGGTGGTGCTGAAGATGAGGATGCTCCAGGTGGTGCTGAAGATGAGGATGCTGGAGGTGGTGCTGAAGATGAGGAGTCTGGAGATGGTGCTGAAGATGAGGATGCTGGAGGTGGTGCTGAAGATGAGGATGCTGCAGGTGGTGCTGAAGACGAGGATGCTGCAGGTGATGCTGCAGGTGGTGCTAAAGATGAGGATGCTGCAGGTGGTGCTGAAGATGAGGATGCTGCAGGTGGTGCTGAAGATGAGGATGCTGCAGGTGGTGCTGAAGATGAGGATGCTGCAGGTGGTGATGTTTCTTTTACGCTTTTATTGTCCAAATATGTTCAAAATAAAGTAATAAACTAAAGTAACCGGAGTAACCATAAATAAAACTGGGACTTCAAAACTGGAGCAGTGGCAATCTACACTCAGAGCATTAAAACATTTCTCTGACTTTCTGGGATTACTTGTCAGTTCTTTTGGTACATTAATCTGGTTTGACCTTAACTAAAATTGAGCGATAATTAGAATCGGTTTGGAGGAATCTGGGTAGACTGAATGAAAACCTCAGCGTCTGAATGGCTGGTCTGGACGGAAACAGGAGCAATTTTTACTGCTGAATCAGGACTTTAAGCTGACATGTCTAAACAGAACAGATTCGGGTTGAACTGGGATTTATACGGGTTTGTTCTACTTCAGTGAATATCTGTAGCCACATCATTCTGCTCCGCCGCCACCCCCGGTTTTCACCCTGAGGGTTTTTTCCACTAGTCATACCAACTTCCAGGCCTGCCAGGCTGCATTTTAATATTTTATTGTTTTAGACGCAGGAAGTTGATCTAGTTGTCGATGTCAGGGAATTTGGATTCATTTTGGCTACACGTTTTCAGTCTTGTGTCCGAAATTTCCGGTTATGTCTTGTTGTCCGACTTAATGCACTTGTGTTTTCTGTACTAGCTTCAGCTTGGACCAAAAGTTTAAATTTAACAAAGTTAATGCATCTCCTGACAGTCGGTAAAGAGCAACTTGATTTCTAAGGATATTTAATGTAAGTTTTGGTGGAATAATTGTGTAAAGTGGTAGTAAAAATCTGAAATTGACAAATATTTTTATTAACTGGAATAAATAAAAACTATAATTAACGGGGGAAAATATAACTGCAACTATATCGTGTTTCTAAAATTAAAACATACTGAAATTATAGATACAAGATTCTTTGTCTTTGTGTTTTTAAATCTATTAGCCTTTTGAACTGAGAATAGATTTACTTTTTTCCAAACATAAGACGTTTACACCAGCTGTCGGCAAATTATGCTAACCTGCAAAATGGCGACAGCAAAAGTTGTGAGAAAACTCCATAATTAGTTTGTTCAAGAATAACAGCAAATAATTGAAAATGTTATTCATTACCCAATCAAATTCAATGAAAAAACTACAACTACAACTAATAAATTATAAAAACTAAAGATCTAAGTAGAAATAAGTAAAAACTAGCAAAAACACTTTAAAAACTAATTAAATTACAAAAGCAATAAATTAGAATGGAAACCTAAAATTATTACCCTGGTGCTACTGCATGTCAGACCAGCTGGTTCTCTGGTAAACTGCTTAACTTGAGGCTTTGGAATTGATTTTGTTTTCGAGTGATATCTAGAACTGAAAGTCCCTCAAAAGTTCACATAAAGGAGGTCATGAAACTGCAGAGAAAGTTCATCTTCCTTAAATATGTGCACAACTTGACCTTAGTCTATTGAGGCGTGTAAATGCGTAATATTGTATTGACATTCATCTCATATAATTCTCAGCTTCAAACAAATAAATGATTAAAAGGATCATGTTTGCACAGCACTTACTGCTGAAATAATCACTGCATTATAAAGCCATCAAAAAGATAAGAACTGCACCTTCCAGTTAGTCCAACCAAACAAAAGGGACATTTACCACTGGTTCCCTTTACAATCTAGTTTTTTAAAGGCAGCACTTCTGGTTCTTCAGCTTTATCCTAGTTTACCGTCAATGCTTCAGCCGGGAGTTTCCCAGCTGCTGAATGCAGGCGGCAGAAAGACATCCAAGCATCGATTTACAAGAAAAAGAAAGCTTGAATGCGTCTCCAGTCCACAGGGCGTGACGTCGCTGCAGGATCTGGTTCATGAATGAAGATCTGTGAGAAGAAATCAAGAGGTTTCATATCAGCAAACAGATTCCAGCTCGCGTTCAGTAAGCAAAACTTGTTTGCAGACATCCAAGCTTTCGGTATCAGTTTGTGTCATCCTCTGTGAGGTCAACTGTCCAAAAAATAAAATAAACAAATCAGTGCAAGGAAGTACAGTAAGGAGGGGTTGTAGTGTGAGGGATTTAGCTAAGTTAAATGGTGAAAAAGCTTAGGGGCACTGCAACATGATTAAAGTAATTTTGCAGTAGAAACAAATTTTGTCTAGTTTCTGGTGCAAATATCTTGAAATAAGACAAAACTAACATACAAGTGACTTTTCAGCAAAATATGTGAGCTTGTTTTAAGTTAATAAATCATTAATATTAACTTTAAATAGTACTGGTTTCAGATTTTTCCACTTATAACACTGGAAACATTTACATAATCTGCTAATGAGCAAGTATTTTTTCATCAGTATTAAGGAATTACTGACTTAAACTCCTATATGTTGTAAAGCTACTTGCATGTTGTTACTCTTGAAATAAAAACACTAAGATGTTTGCACTAGAAACTAGACCAAAAAGTAAGATTTTTTTTGTCTTGCACATTCAGAAAAAAGTGTTGATAATATTTCTGTGTCGAAATCTTAAAGGATACCAACTGTTACCACCAGATGTGCAGTTGAAAAATCTCTTAGGTTTTGCGATGTAAAAAATAATATTTTAAAACTTTTCTTCCACCTCCAATGTGAAATAAATCCTGCAAATGTCACTTGTTCAAAGGAAAAATCTGAAACAAATAAAAATGCAATGATCTGTTTTGTGCAAGTGTGAATAGCCTTTTGGTTCAATTTAAGTATTCAGTCTATTTATTTTGTTCTTGCTTAGAATGTAAAAATGTAAAGCAACTTTAATTTAAGCATAAATGTGCAACCAGGAAGTAATGGTTTACCCAGAGGCATTTTCCTGGACTTTTCTCACAGGAGACATGGACCTTAAAATTTCCTTTGGGATCAATAAATATTTTTGAATTTGAATTTGCTTGACTGATACTTCAGGTTTCAACAGAGAGAGAATAAAAACTTTTAATTTGCTGCTAAAGCATTATGCCACTGGTCACATTTGAAAAAAAGAAAGTTCAGACGCTCTAAATCTGTTTTATGGTGGCGGTGAAAAGAATAACACGCTGCTGACTTAAAGCTGCAGTATGTAACTTATATATATATATATATATATATGAAAGTTCGATACTTACACGTGTAAGAATCGAATTGATCAATCCTGTTTTATTTCATTGAAAACAAACCAAAGAACCTCTGCTCAATGTAGGATTTTTATATCTTCCGGAAGTGTTAAATGCTAAATGTAACAGGAAACATTTGCAGTCTGGCGTTCACAGAAAACAGAAGAGTAGAAATTCTCACTTTCCTCTAAAGTCAGCAACTTCCCTCACATTTCAAGGATTTAGTTGCAGTTTTTCTGTCAGGGTTGTTTTCAGTTCTGTCCAGCAGCCAGACAGTGAAGGAAGCAGCTTGTTTTTGTTCTTGCACTGAAGCTCTGACACATGAAAACTACTAAACTACTGCAGCATTAATATACGCAGCTGGTGACTGTTTTTAATGTCAAACAGAAATATCAGCCCAGTTTCAACATGTTTCCTTTGCCATTCTTAAACTGCAAAAACACAAATTCTTACCAAGTATTTATGTTTAGTTTTTAGACAAAAACAGGACAAAAAAGTGCCAGTTTTATTGGAAGATTAGCATGGAAAGAAATGTCTTGTTATAGGTGAAATAATCTGCCAATGGAACTAGAACGTTTTCCATCAATATTAAGAAATTGACTAAAAATAAACTCCTCTCTTTTGCTGCAAGGTTACTTGTAAGTTAGTTTTGTCTCATTTCAAGTGCACTAGAAACTAGATCAAATATACTTCGTAAGACTTTGTGTTTTTGCAGTGTATTTACCTTTACAGATTTGCATCTATGGATTAAAGTTGGAGACACTTTTTGTGTGTTAAAGTGCGGAAAATGATTGCCGTGTTAATCTGAGACGTGACGTGTTACCAAACTCGAGCCTTGGATTGTCTTATCAAGCACAAACACTGCAGTAATAAAAGCAAATAAAATAAATTTTAGTATTTCCAGGAAGATTCTGTATGTTTGCAGCTAAGAAGAAAGGCTGACGCACTTTCTCCTGAGAATTGAGAAGTAGAGAAGTGTAGAAGAAGAAGCACTTCTTCATTTTCATCAAAACAACATCAATCTTTAGCGAAATTTCCAACATTTTCTTGCATTTGCACGTATGAACAACATCTTAAAGTTATAAGAAACAGACCTAAAAGTTTTCCAGAGTCCAGCTGAAAGATGATGCACATCTTTCAGCTTTGGAAATCACCTTGTTTTCCTTCGATGAAACGTTTTGTTTGTGTTTTTTATAGCCAGACAAAACGAAACAAACAGTGAGACATGTTTTTCATACCTGAATGATTCAGTCAGTAGCTGAATTTCCATTACAAATGTGAGCAAAACACAATTTTGCAATTACCTTTAAGTAAGAAACGCAAATAAAATCATACGTAAATAAATGTGTTTATGTGATAAAATCAGTAAAAATGATCAACTACTTCCTGTTGTCTTCTTTGTCATTTCTGCCAGTAGTAACATGCAGTTGTTGATCACGATTTGAAAAAAAAGTGTTTCTGTTGCAGCTTTGCAAAAGAAACTAATTTCAAAACGGCCAAAAGGAACACTTTTTACCCAGAAACTTGACTTGTTTCTACATTGGCACATTTCCCTTAATTAAATTTATTTTTGTAATTTTTCGTAATTTTAAGTCAATGAAAATGCTCATTGAACTAAAACAACATTGCTTTGTTTACAGACCTGTGCACTGCAAAGGCACAAAATTCTACCAATTATTTTTCTTTTGTTTCTAGTGCAAATATCTTAGTTCACTTAAAACAAGACAAACTATTTTACAAATATCTTTTCTGCAAATTATAAGAGCTTGCTTTAACTCAATAACATTTTTTTTAAGTGGAACTAGAACTTTTTAATCAATATTAAGGAATTTTTTACTTAAAGAAGCTCATATTTCTGGCTAAAAAGTTATTTTTAAGTTAGTTTTATTTCAAGAGGCCAAAGATATTTGCCCTAAAAAGTGCAAACACTATTTGTTTCGGTGTTACAACATCGTAACATTCCTTGTTACAAAGTTGTGTTTTTGCAGTGCACAGAAGGTAGGAAGCCCCTAATAAACCTCTGACACATTCAGGAACTGATTTCTGCTGGGAACAAATGACATTATAAAACTGCTAAAGTTGGAAAACAAAGGTTGCAGATAAAGTTTTGTGAAAATATCCTTTGAGTTTGCATTTTCCTCAGGCTTTTATTCCTAACAAAACCATAGGGCTGCTGTGCAATGATCAAAATCAAGAATTGGCCCTGGTTAGAGCTCTGTAAAGGATAATAAATTCCTTCCCGGTCAGAGGAGTGGGGTTTTTCCGCAGGGATCATGTTATTGTAAAAGGAAACTGAAAGTGACCAGTGCTATAAAGCCAGAAGCTCGTGCTCAGAGACCTTCAGTTGCTGGATTTCCTTTCGTGTTGCTAGGAGAAGCGAGTTCGTCAGCCTCCAGAGCGACCGCAGACATGACTCCCTGGGGCGATGCCAAGCTCTTCTTCTGCATCTTTTTCATCATCTGCTGCTCTGCAGGTGAGTCAACAAGACATTTTACTCGGTTAATCTGAAACGCAGAACGGAAGACAAAAAACACAAAGAAAGGAAGAAAGATAAAAGAGAGAAAGGAAGGAAGGAAGCAGAAGTTTAAAGAAAAACTCACTTGAAACTCATCCAAACTTCAGAAGCTGTTGACAGAATTAAAGAAAGCGCCTTGATTCGGTTTAATGCTTCAGCGTTTGAAGGTTCTGCTTGAAATATTTCTGCTTTTGTCACACAAAATCTCACTTTTATTAAACGTATGCATGAAAATAGGGGAGAAAAAAAATGCCTTAGACATAAAAAGTAAATGTTTTTGTACTAAAATCTGAGGAGAATTTGATCTTTTTGTTGAGAAAGCAGGACAATAAAGTGAATTGAAAGAGATTTGCATCTTTCAAGATGTGGTGCTGGATTTCCCTTCAGCTAGAAATAATAGATAAACTTATTTCACTTTGCACTGACTGTTTAAATATCAATTTAACTTGATGTTTAGGCATTGTTTCAGTCATACTTCTGAAAGCGTCTAGATTTGGACAGCATATTGTTTCCTGTTGTTTTCACAGCTTTAATTTCCTGTCATTTTCACAACTTGCAATGTTTTGCTTTTTATTTAAAAGTTTAGAAAGCCTAAAAAGCATAATATATTAAGAAATATTCATAGTTTTAAAAAACTGCAAATACAAATGGTTACCAGTGGCTAAAAACTAGTAACCAAGACTTAAAAAAGGTTTTACGTTGCACTCGCTTCGCCGTTTCACACATTCATTTCAGTCTCACATCAGAGTTATAAAACATCACCAGTAAAACCTGAGAAGGCCTGGAAAGTACCAGCCCTCCGCGCCTCACATGCATTCGTAATCTCAAAGGGAGAGAAGAGCAGACAATGGTGTTTTGCAACAGCTTTAATCTCTCTGTGTTAGTTTTACATTAACTAAACTCCTGTGGGGGAAAATCTGACGAACAGTTTGGACTGTAGATGATCACAAACACACCCACCTGGGTTTGTAACGCTCTGTATGTCACAAGGAGGCTGTAAAAGTTAAATTCCCTTCAGCTGTTGTCAGTCTGAAGCCAAGAGGCTGCTCAGTCCGAGGCAGCGACAGTTTGTTTACAAATGTGCTCAAAAATGTATTGATAAGTTGACAAATTATAATTTCTCTAATGGAGAAATTATAATTTGTCAACATTAAATAAGAAAATCAATTAAATTACACGTGAATATGTTTGTTTAAGCGATAAGTCATTAAAAAACATGGAGTGTCATCATCCTTCTACCACTTCCTGTCATCCTTTTTGTCGTTTCTGCCAGTAGTAACATCTGGATGTTGATCACATGACTCAAAAAAAGTGTTTTCATTGCAGATTTGCAAAATTACGACAAAGTTTTAGCGCCGTTGTAGATAGAAAAAAGGAGGAGTAAATTTATTTATGCCAAAAATCTGAAATGTTCTAGAAAAAAAAATGAGCTTAAAAAGTCTTAAGTTTGCTAGAAAAACCTCAGAATTTTTTTAAGTTAATCGTAGAAATTTTCTAGCAAATTTCTGACCTTTAAAAGTTTAATGTTTGCTAGAAATAAATCTGAAATCTCCTGGAAAAAACTCAAACATTTTCTACAAAAAAAACAAAAAAACAAGGACCTTTCTGAGACTGAAAGGTCAAAGGTTTGATAGGAGAAACTCAAAAATTTTGAAATTAATCTCAATTTTTTTAGAAAGACAAGAATATTTCTGAACTTAAAAAGTGAAAGATTTGCTAGAAAAAAAACTCAGAAATTTTGAGATTAATCAAAAAAATGTTTTTTTTTAGAAAAAACATGGAATTTTCTGAGCTTTAAAAGTCAAAAGGTTTCTAGAAATTCTCAAATTTTCCACAAAACAAGGACATTTCTAAGTTTGAAAAGATCAATCAGAATATTTATAGAAAAAACAGGAAACTAGAGAAGAAAACTCAGAAATTTTTTGATTAATCTAATAAATTTTCTAGAAAATAAAATAAAATTTCTGAACTTAAAAAGTCAAACGTTTGCTAGAACAAATCTCAGAAAATTATAAAAAGAAATACTAAATTTTCTAAAGTCCAATGAAGAATAAAATTTTGATGTGATAATTTTTTGCCCTTCAGTGACTGAGGCGCAGGTTCCCGTGGACTGCTGCTTGTCGGTAGCAAACCAACCAATCGACAAAAGATTGATTGCAGATTACCGTGAACAGGCCAAAGCCTGCTCGATTGATGCCACAATGTGAGTTTTTATTTTATCCTGACCATCTGTCAGTGAGTGGAAACCAGAAGGTAAAGCTTTGGTTGTTCTTGCAGCCTGGTGACCAGACATGGGAGAAAACTCTGCGCCCCGACTAAGGAAGAAAGGTGGGTGAAAGACGTGATGAAGCACGTGGACCACCTGAAGAAAAGATGCAAAAACCAGAAGTACCAGGTAACTCATCTAGGTTCTGATTTAATTGAGTATCTTGGATTTTGTTTTGTATGGTAAAATTTAATTTTTTTATCTAAACAGAAATATTCTAAATAATCTGGAGTGCTTTGGTTTCAACTTTTCTTACAAGAGTCTCCATCACTTAGCCTGTTTGACTGGAATTTTATATTTATACTGTGAAAACACAAAATATTAATAGCATTTCTCTCCAACTCTTTGAGGTGGGAATGCCTCTTTGCCATCACTCTAATCTCTAACTCCAGATGGCAGATGCCTGGAAAAGGACTCTGGTCTGGATTTTAGTCATAAATAAGAAAATATTTTATTTTTGGTGGCTTTAACAACTCGCACACCTTTCAAAACCTACAACGTTTTTCAGATTTTCTACATGTTCTTTTTTATTTGTGTTTTTATGATACTAACAAAAGCACAAAGTTACACATTTGAATCTTCGCCATGATCTGTAATAGTTCTAGTTTCAGGAAGTATCCAATTACTTATTCTCCGATTAGATCAATAAAAAGTGAACTCAAGCACATTTTCTTATTATAAGCACTGTCAAAGATATGAATCTTTTATTGACTTAAAGATAACCTTTTGTTTTTGTTTCAGTTTGTCTTCAGGTTAAAGTTTAACATAATCATCAGAAATGTCCAGGTGTGTCACTACAATACAGAACAGATTATCCATTAAATTATTATTTTATAGTGAAACAGCTGGTAATTTCCACTTTTATTGGTTCAGTTTATCATATATTTAAATTTAGCTTTAAAAAAATCCTTTTTATTTTGTTTTTTGAAACAGCAATTAATGTTTGGCAACGAAATGAAGTTTTTATTTTAAAAAATCAGGTTATACATTTATTAATGCTTACTCCCTCTTGTTTTGCCTGTTTACATTTTTGACCTTGAAAGTTATTTGGATTTTAAGTCATTAGACAAACAATATATACATTTCATTGGTTTTGCACAAAACAGTGGTTGTTTTTTCCCATTAAAGTTTGTATGACAGGAAATATTTCTAAAATTTCTGAACATTTATGGTGAAAAGTGACACCCAGTGTTGGTTGTAGTGTTTGTTCTAGCTGAAGGTTTGACAAGCCTCACCTCACTTCAATTGGGTGTAAAACCGCAAATGGCTGTGACTCATGGTGTAAAGACACCAAAGCGTGAAGGAATTGCAGGAAGATACATTTTCACTGTTCTTTTGTTAATGGTTTGCAGATATTTTAATGACTTCTGCTTTTATTAATGTTACTTTATAGACTTTTCTGCTGTGGAAAAACATGCATTTGGAGTTTTCTGCACAACTTCCTGCAGAGCTGAACATAAAAGATATGGTATTTTAGAAATTCTTGAATTTTTCTTTTCTATTTTTTGTGTTTTTCCAGGGCAATCACTGTTTTGGAGTGAAGCGTGAATAAAAAAGCCTCTGGTTCCCTGAGAATGCCCAGTGATTGACACGAATCCAGCTAAACGTTTCTCCTGTTACCGAAATAAAACCTTTTGTTTTTTTCATTTCATCTTTATAAAAATATGTTAATTTGAGCTGCAATCTAAAAACAACCTCCTGAAGGAATTTTATTTTTTTACTGCTTTCCTGTTTGTAAAAAGTCTTTCAGAGAGAGATAATATGTTAAATGTGTAGCCATTTAAGCTAACATGTATTAGCTTAGAAGGCTAAATTAAGCTAACACATGTGTAGCCACATAAGCTAGCCTACATTTTAGTCAGAGGAAGTTTTACTGTAACCTTGATGTGAATTTTTATCTCTAATTAAAACCTTTTTATTTTCCCCAGAAGCTTGTGTTTGATTCTTTGCAGATGACACTCTGTTATCTACTAGAACTGAAATTTGTTAATAATCCTCACAGCATCACTACATACACTGTGTGAAAAGGCTAAAAGGCTTTTTTGTGTTATTCTGTTTTCTGTTGCACCCAAAAAGATGTGAAAATGTTTGCAATTTGATACAAGTGCAGACCGGAGAAAGGTTTATATTTTCTTTCATTAGAAAGTTTCCACTATGGTGGAAAAAATGGGAAAGCAGTTTGCACATGCTAATGGCCCAATAAAATGTAAATAAATAAAAAAATGTATTTGAATTAAAGAATAACATCATAAACAAAGACAAAACAAAAAGTTTTTAAATGCTTTTTAAAAGTCTACAGAGTCATAAAAACAAAGTTACAGAGACCAACTGTTTCACAACATGAGTAAAATAAATCAAACAAAAAAAACTTACTGTGAGACAGTGAAATTAAAACAAAATCAGTGGGATTGGTTTACTGGATTTAATGGTTCAGAACAGAAAAATTGCTCATTTTCCAGGCAGTGCCATTGTTGGTGCAATAATTATTTTCTCTAGAAATTCAAGGAGAAACCATGAATCATGATGTAGAAATATTTCTTAAAAGGAAAAAAACTGGGGCACAATATTTAACAAGAAACCCAAAAAGAGGAATGAAATATAGCTAAGATTTCTTTTTTGCTGTTATGAAGAATCAGAATCAGCTTTTGTGGTCAGGACTTTGTGCACACATAAGAAATTTGACACAATAAGAACAAATATGTAAATAAACTCAGTATTTTGTCCTATTCTTTGTTCTTAAAGGTCTGTGGACATTTAAAACAAGATAATTAGAAGATAATTAAACTAATTCACGTCAAACAGTGGAGTAAGTTGGGCAATCTTTCCATCTCCTGAGGCTTAGAAGACAAATACAGCTGTAAGTCATCAGCATAGACTTGATAAATGTTGGAAAACCCCTGACTGATGGCAGATAATAGAAGGATGAGAAAAAGAAAACAAGAGTGGGTTCAGAACTCAACCCTGCGGAACGCCACGGTAGAACCTGTCAGTCCTGACGGACAGGTCCAGGAAAACGTTGATGGTTGACAGTTTAGATGAAGTACATCCATTACAGAGCATTTCCCACAGTGAAATATTCAAATAATATCACATTTTATTCAGTTTCTCTGGTAAATTTAAATGTTTTTATGCAAGAATTAAGTGCCTTTCTTCCACTGTTTGGTTCATTCTGTCATTCAGATCCTATAAATTACTAGCTTTATGTTTTATACCACTGCAAAACTTAGCAGAAATTACAGATCTTTGCTAACTGAAACATCAGAAATCTGTCTGCTCAAACAGAAGCAAGGTGACATGAATTGGAGTAAAAGCTTTTATATTAGCAGAGCAACTTGGCAGATCTTCAGGTTTATTCAAATTTCATCCCACATACTAGTTGCCTCACAGGCAGAAGGAGTTCCTCAGAAGAAGACTGTGTCAGAGTAAAACAAGGTTCCTGAGAATTTCCCTGAACAAGAAACCTTTCTGTGCCTCAAGATTTATTTCAGCAGCCTGTTAATGTTCAACCTTGGTGGTTGAAGAATGCGGTTGTGAGAAATGGCTCAGAGCAAAGTCAGCCTGAAACACCAAATAAACACTGAACCACAACGATGGTTTCCCAACTAAGCTAGGTTTGATTTTTCCACAGAAGAAAGCACAACTTTATATTGGAGACGCAGGTTTTCCTGCAGGCAGAAAATGTAACTGCAGCTGGATGTGTGAATGATAACTGAATAAAACTGGTTGCATTTATTTCAAAATGCCTCAAAGTTAATTATAAAAACACAGTTTTAGCTTCTTTTTTTTTTTTAGTTTTTTGTTTGCTTTGGAAATAATGGCTCACTTTTTTTGCTCTGCAGTAACACAAAATCTTATGAAGTATTTTTGGCCCAGTTTCTAGTGCAAATGTCTTAGTACACTTTAAATAAGACAAAACTAGCTTATAAGTAATTTTTTTAGCAAGATATAGGTGCTTGTTTGAAGTAAATAACTCCTTGATTTTGATGCAAGGAAAATTATCGGCAAATTTATATGGAGAAGCAGCATTCATCTTCTGTGCTCACAAATCTGGAACAAACTTCCAAAAGACTGCAAAACAGCCGAAACACTGAGTCTGTTTAAATCTAGACTAAAACCTGTTTAGAATTGCTTTTGAAACATTGACCAGCATATTTGATGTGTAATGATGTAATATTTGTTACTGGTTTCTAAACTAGTGATTGTATGATATTTTTATAACTATTTTTGTGTTTTTATTATTTAAAGCATTTGAAATGCCTTGTTGATGAAATGTGCTTCAATCAAATAAAACTTAATTTCATGATTGTGAATTTAAACTCTCTCAATAAACCTCCAAAAATCCCTTTAAAGAGCATAGAATCAACCTTATATGTTTACAATCAAAATTAGAAATTAAAAAGAGGCTGCTGATTCTGTAACTCTTTTCTTCTTCTGTGCCAAATCTCATTTCCAACTATGCTTTGGTTTAACGTTGCTAACTGTTCCGGTTCTAGTCTCCAGCGCCCTCTTGTGGCCTCCATGTGTTGTGACAGTATTAAGCCTCTTGAACAACATTAAAGTTCTTAATGAGCATAAATACTGATGATAACTTGAGATGTTGCACTTATCTAAAGTGTAACATTAAAGGTGTTTTTTGTGACAGCTACTTCTGTAAGAGCGGAAATACTATATAAGGAGTTGTTTGGCGGAAAAAAGACACTGGCGCCTCAGCAAGACTTTGGCTTCGCACTAGGTCAACCTGACCGAATTCTTTCCTTCCATTTGCGTGCAAAGCGCAAATGGAGCCAGAATTTACTGGAAAGGATGTCTGTTTGTGCAAGATAAAATCAACAATTTGAGATAAATTATACTATTCAGCAATTCTGAAATGGAGCAGATGTTGAGTTCGTGAGGTCCAAAATATTTTAAAGGTCGCCCAATACACACTCAGTATAAAGCGTGCCAGAATCTTTCTGCAAAACAACAATAGCACGCCATTGGTTGAAACTTTCCAACACACACTGATGAAGATGAGAAGGTATAAAATAGGTTGGTGTTAAGACTTCGGGGAGATTTTTTGTGACAAGAAATGACGATGAAGATTTTGTACTGAACTGAAGAAACTGTAACGAGGAATCTGTGGTGGTGTAATAAATCTCCGGCTCGTCTATGGCCTAGCAGCAAGAACTACGTCTCTGTGCGTTATTTCCCTTACTTAGATATTTAAGAGTATAGCCACCTTTCTAATCCTCAATACTTCTTAGTTTTACTTGAGTAAAAACATGTTGAAGTAGTCTTACATGAGTGCAATTTTTGCCAACTCTACCCCAGATTTTAAAGTAATTCAAGGAAAAATATTCAGATTAATGAGCAGAGAATAATCTGGTTCTCATGAACATATCTGACGTAAATCAGATCAGGTAAAGTGGATAAAAAAGCCGTTGTGTCAAAAGAGTAGAAGAGTTGTGTGTATTTTGTTTTACGTCAAGTCTTAGGAGATAAAGAGTAAAATAATGGCGCCATCTAGTGGTAGAATTGCGTTTTTGCTCAAGCTAAAACATTAAGGTGGGTTTCATCATATTGCGTCAGTGTAGTACATGTCGGGTTTTTGTAGTTTTGTGGACGCAACACAGAACATTATAAAAATAAAATAAAATAAATAGCAGAAAATCATAACGGAATGTTAAACTACAAAAAGCGCCCTTTTGCTTTAAACGCTTTATTTGCTCTCTTTAGAAAATGTTGCTGTTAATTATTTTCAAGTCCGAAACCTATAAAACAGTTCACCATATTACAGTAAAAGTCTTTCAAGTGTGAATACCAACATAAAAGTTAGCATGCTGCTCACCTACAGGTTTCCTATTAGCCGAACCGGTTGAATTTCGGAATGAAGTCCATGTCTCAAGATGGCCGCCGTTTTGGCTGTCAAAGAAGTTAGCATGTAACATTTTCACCCCTCAGGGCGTATGTTATTCATATTTCCCGTTAGCAGGTTGAATTTCAGGATGCCGTCCATTTTTCAAGATGGTCGTAGTTTAGCTGCCATAAAAGTTAGCATGTTCACCCCTCAGGTGGTGTTTTTCATCGTAGTCGCCTCATTGAGCGGCTGGGCCGTTACCCGTTGCGTCCGCCATATTGAATGTGACAGATCTGCCGCTAAGCTAATAGGAGTAAATGGACCGAACTTCAAAAAGCGCCGTTCTACAAAGTATTTTAAGTTAATGCCTGTTATTCTCTAACATGCTAACATATTTGGAAATCAAAGGAAACACTAAAGGCAACATTTCTAACATTTTGATGTGATTACTTCATTTTTTTGGGGCACAATGCTTACATTTGATACAACTGATTGGATCAATCGTTTTTTTTTCTGTATTGACAGTGATGAAAGGTGTGCATTTATGAGCATCCATCCATCCATTTTCTGTACACCCTTGACACAATTCTGTAATTCTATCTGCATTTTTCATTTCGAGATATAAAAAAACTTAATTTCCTTTTACTGTAGGTATTTTAAACAATTAATTTTGATATATATTCATGTCCATGTTCAGAATGACACCAATTTTTCAAGATGGCCATCGTTTTGGATGCCATAAAAGTTGGCATGTTCACTCAGATTTTATGTTTTTCCTTAGCTGGTTGAATTTTAGAATGACATCCATTTTTCAAGATGGCTGCCGGAGGACATACCCTTTCTCCCATGTACAGCAAATATTTGCATTATTTGCTGCTCTTTTGTTTTGTTATAAGTGAAATAATATGCCAGTGGAACTAGTAATTAAAAAAGAAAAACATTAAGGAATTACTGACTTAAACCAAGCTCCTATTTCTTGCTGAAAAGTTACTTTAAGTTAGTTTTGTCGTATTTTAAGTGTAATAAGATATTTGCACTAGAAACGAAAAATACTTGGTGAGATTTTGTGTTTTTGCAGTGTACAGATGGGAAAC